AAGATGATTTAGTTGTCTTTTACCATGAGTAGATTCAACGAAGTTAGCAGACATTTTCGAATAACTGTGAGATAAGTATGGTTTATCCGACCTTTATACAAGTTATAACAAACATCCTGACTCTGATAACTACTTAAATTCACTCAAACAGTGTGAATATTACTCAGATTCCCAGTGTTTGTCACTCATATAGCAACAGAATATACTGAATAGTACTCATTCCCATTCACCCAAACAGTGTGACTATTACTCAGATTCCCTTTAGGAAGAACAATCGTTAGCCAACTGGCTTCTTAACTGTATACTTTTTCCAAATCAGTGGAAAGTATATACTGCTTAATTAGTATACATATGTTAAATGGTGAATTCCTGTTTCGTCGAAAATAAAGCTTTAGCTGTTCCTAGTTTTTTTCTTTGTGGTATTGCGCCGGTGGCTGTATGACGTGATGATATTGCTGAATTATAAGCATAATCCTTTTGAATTGCACGAATAAACATATAAAAATGTGGATGTATGATATGATTTAAATCAGTATTTAATCAATGATGCCAACCTTCTAAGCTATTATTTGTTCTTGAACTTTTAAAATCAAAATAACTCCACAATGATAAATCGAACAACGCATCATCATCCACCCACGTACTTGTGACATAATCGTAAAATACCTCAATATCTTGAAATTGATCCATAATCAATGTCCATATTTTTCCAACTTCTTGCGGTTGCATGAATGCAAGCGCACATGTTTTCTTATAAAGAGTTCTTATATTAATTTCATCTGGATCACTTGATTTGGCATTAATAAATGATGACTAAAACCCCAATTCTTGTAATTTTGTGTACATACATTTATTAAAGTGGAAATTACATCCTTTGATTGTGGCATTTGGAAAAACTAATGTGATGGCATTAATAGCTGCTTGTTCGAAGTCAATTGTAATATAGTTGGGATTAATGCAAATATTGTTCATATGAAATAAATTTGAAATAAAATTTTTTCAATACACTGTATTAATTAGAATAATCTATATTACACTTCAAGTTTTATTTTTCGACGAAACAGGAATACTAGAAAAAAAAACTTTCGACGAAACAGGAATATCAATTAAGCTTTCGACGAAACGGGAACTAACCATGTTAAATCTCTATAAATCAGACTGTTTAATTAATATAGATATTTTATCTAATCATCGGAAAGTAAATCCGTTGTAGGAAAAAAAACATATATATCTCCTTTTCTATAAGAAAAAAGCTAATTAAAATAAAAATTAATCATCGGAAAGTAAATCCTGTATACCATTCTCGTCATATTTTCTCTGTTTTATTTTGAACTTCCAGCGACATTTGACATAGTGTTTCTAGCAGAAATGGGCGAACAGAAGCTGTTTTCGATAGAGAAAATTTTAGGATACAAGTATTAGATGCTTATTATGAACTGGCAAAAATCCGGTCTCATCCAGCCCGGTGTGACTTTTCGTCCGGTCTTGTCCGGTCCGGACGAACCGGAGCCGGCTTGCCGAACAGGTTCCAACTCTGATTTGTTTAAAAAAGCACGCAAAGCCAAGAGTCGGAAAACGAGCATTTTCGCGACAGAACGAAAGAACAGCGCACAAAACTAAACATCTGTGCCACATTGATTTACTGATGAAAAAATCTTGATCATTGCGTGATATGCAACGATCAATCAAAAACTTCAGGGAATCTTGGTTGCGCCCATTTCTACATAGTATCAGATATTTCCATTCTGAGAAAATGTTAGCGACTTGTGTTACGGATGAGATCGTACTTTTGAAATTGGAAGTGTGGTGTTATCAAACATTTGAGAACTCACTAGGGTTCAAATCTACACTTCATCTAAAACGCGAAATCAATTGATTCCCTGATGTTGACAAATGAGGATCATCCCTAGTACAGAGCAGAACTCTGTATGGACTGGATTGAGTCCATGGTCCAGTCGAGTCCAGTCCATGTGGGCTGGACTGGACTCAACTTTTTGGAATTTCAGGGGCTCGGATTGGACTGAAAATCTCAAGATCATGGACTAGTCTGGACTCGGAAAATGTTGGATGGACTTCAATCAAGGAAAATTCGGTAACCGACAAGTTGTTTTTGTTTTGTTAAAGGCGATTCCAGAATACTAATAGAGAAGAAAAAGAAATAAAGAATAAAAGTAAATTCTAAAAATGGCTCGAGAAGAATTAGAGATACACTTCGAAGGATGTGTCAGTCAAAGAATTAAAATAAAAGTGGAATAACCCATATCTCTCATTCCCTAGTCCTTTCTAGAATTTACTTTTATTCTGTTTGTTCTTTTCCTTGTCTGTCATTATCATCGTGCGTTCCTTTTACTTTAACTACCGTCAGACAAACTATTTCATATGTTCGTTTATATGTACAAGTTTCGTGTACAAATAACATCTCTCTTTATTGTACACTTTGTACATTTTTCTGATGATGAACTAGACTGCTCGAAACCTTAAAAAACGAAGACGAAAAGTAAATATTAAAAATACACTATATAAAACGTGGCCCGGAAGTCCTGTCTCATTCAATGTTTTCTCACTCTCGGTCAAGGTTGATCAGTCGATCAACAAGTCTCAATCTTTTTCTAAAAAGAAACCTCATTCAATTCTCTACACAAAACATAAACATTTCTTTATATACTATAAGAATAGAAAGATATAAAGGAAATACGGAAAAGTTTCAATATCGATTACTTTCAAACCAAAAGCGCAACCAAAAAGTATTTATTTTTGAACACAGTGCGATGCATCAGAGTGGAATCGAAATGTATTTTCTGGTGCTCCAGAATATCAGCTTTCTTTTCTTGTATCGTAAGTTAGCTACAAAATTTTTTTCCTGCCATGAACAAAGATTTACTAAAAGTAAAAAAAAGGGAAAATCTTCGCCTTGACATAGGAAATGAAACGGGGCTATTCAACTTTCTCTGTTCGGATGTAACAGAAAAACTATTTTGCGTCAAGATAAACCAGATCTAAAGTCACATAAATTTGCCGAAGTGCCTCAAAACTGCCGTTAGAAAATAACGATTTTGGGCAAAATCGCATTTTGGATGCCGATGAGTTCAACTTGATTGTATTATGTTCCCGAGGAGAAAGCCGGATAAAACATGATGAAATCATTATTTGAATTACCTTACGAAACACTTTATCTTGAGAGATCCAAAAAAAGAGGTACCTACCTCAAAGCGGTAACATCATTTGTGAATATTTCCAGTACTTATGTGATATTCTGAATGACTGTTATGAACAGCCATGAACCATGATTGAGGTATTTCACCAGTTTATGTGCTCTGAAGACCAATTTTTACCTATTAGATTTTCAGCTTTCCACTCGCTCTCACGATCAACCTGTTCTCTGGTCAATTCTAAAATTTATTATTTATTATTTATCTATTTATTATTACGGCTTGGTGATGGTCAACTTATTGTAAAAATTGGATTAATGAATAATCTAAATTATTTACTTGATTTTTTAAAACAACAGCAACAAAAGAAAATAATGGAAAGTAGTTATATTGACGCAAATCCTCATTTAGTATTAGATTTTATCAATAAAAATCCATTATTAAAAAAGTTGATTCTTTGGTACCAACGAATTCATCATGATAGTGTTACTAATAAAGATAAACATGGATTTTTAATAGATTTTCGATATAGCCACACAATCAAGAATTTTGCTACTTTTCGTCTTCGTTTTTAAGGTTTCGAACAGTCTAATTCATCATCAGAAATATATATGTGGTAATCTGTACGATGTACACTGTAATTTGGAATTATTTTCTATTTTATAGAAAATCGATCTGGAAAATCGCCAAAGATTTTAAACTTTTATTTTTTCCCTCTAGTCACGTCCCTCTAGTTCAGAAGCAAAACGAAAACATCACATACCATTTGAGGGAGCGAAAAAGCAAAGACTATGAAAACGAAATCGTGTTCACATGAACATCCATCTGGTTTAGCAAACAAATTTTATTCAATCGTTTTTCATCTTTGGCATTTTACTTTAAATTTTAGATGTAATTTATACTTTTTTAAACTTGAATTATTTTATGTTGATTTAATTTTACGTGCATTTCTTTTATATACTGATGAAGGCCAACTAACCGAAATGTTTGCTTTATTAATTAGTTATTTATAATTAATTCATTCCATACAGAATAAAAGCATTAATTCAATCATTTATGTAGTAATTTTTGTTATGTTAAATCGGAAGAAAATAAAAATTTTAACTCATAATGACCTATTAAACTATACTTCAGAAATTTCTTCATAAAAGATCTGATCATGTTATTAATGTCCTGTTAGATCCAATCAGATTAGTTTAAAACGCGGTTTTTCTGCATATATCATCCTGTTAAACATGCGATGTATCCCTTCCATGTCTTTTAAAGCACGAAATGTCGTCAACAGCGGGAGGAACCGCTTGTATTGCTGTGTAAACCTATGTTTTCATTTATTTTCAAGGTTCTCAGACGTAAAAAATAGGTATCCTAAAGCTTAAGGAAAACTTGTTCCATACAGGAATGATAAATGGTAGAGATTTCGGATTCACGGGAATCGATCGAGGACAGTTCGATGTCTCAAACCGACTGCTCGGCATTTAAAAGCCATCGTTTTCTTTGGTTCTTCCGATCTACCATTTCAAAGACCGATGAGGTACACTTCCTGCAGGTAGTATTTAGTACGTGATTGTTTCATAGATTCATTGCATCAGGTGTTGGCTACTTAACGGCGAAAAGCCCCCGCCACCGGGTCAAGGAGACGAATTGATTTTTTCTGATTTTGGTGCGGAACGACAGTGGAATGAGAGTGAGAGGGATGTTTTGATTCTCCTGACCCGTTTTATTTAACTAAAAACAATAGTAGTAGAAAACAGAAAATAAGCAATAAAATGAGCAACAAGAAATGGTAAGTCATTCATGTTCTAAACTACTGCGTATTATACAAACCATGTTTCGACTATTTTCTGCTTTTCATCTTTTGTACAATACGCTCTGTTTGTTCTATACTCACGGCTTCTTGTTCTTTATAACCATATTCTAATTCTGCTTTACGTGCTGGTGCTATCGGTGCTACTGTTTTCAAATCTTCCTCATCTAAGTCACTACTCTCGTCTTTTGTTTTGTCCCCTAGTATGCATCCTGCCATCGATTTGATTACGGAAGATCTTTTTTTAGTTTTGATTTTTCTTGCAGTTGCTCTAAGAAAGTCTCCTCCTTCCACTGGAGCTAGAAAGAAAAATGTATACGTGTTGGATAAGTTTTAAAAAAATTTCGATTAAAAGTCGAATACTGACATGACGGTGCCAATTTCATTTTATAACTTTTTTTCAATTCATTCAAATCCGAACATTTGGAATAGTGTTCTCTAGCCATTGTTGATATCGCTGTTGGACTTTGAAACTGTCCGACTTTCATATTTCTTGTCGTAAATATACGGTTAATACGTATCGCTGTTTCTCGTTCATCGACTCCGTCGAGTTCAGCTTGTCGCATTTCTTTATCAATATCTTGTTGAGCTTCTGCCATCAGTTTGTCTATCGAAATTTCTTCCCTCACACCACCAATAATGACCTGAGCGAGTAATTTTGCATTTTGCATTGGAACATACTGACCACCAGTAATATAAGCAACAGACATGAAAAAATCACGATGACCCAAGCGCATGTCACCTACGGGAAAAATCTAGATACATTTCGTCTGTAATCGGCCGATACACGACTAGTTGCCACCTAGATTACTAGTTGGAAAAGGGACTTTTAACTAGATGCGTCTGCAGGTGTATCTAGTAATAGTTAAATCGATCGATTATCGGGCGATAAATCTATAGTTGCCGCCCATCTATAGTAATCGCCCAATTATTAGATTTCTACTGGCGTTACACAGTAGTTGCAGTCGAGTAAAAATCTGGTAGTCTAGATGAATCGGGCGATACAAGATTTTTTTTTGACGCTTGGGAAGGTACAATGGGCGGTTCTTCAACAAGAGGGAAAAGATGATTAATCGTAAAGCGATTAAGAAAACTAAAATTACGTACCAACACCAACTGTATACAATGTAATGTGTTTCTCGGCCATTTCTCGAGCTATTTTAATCGGGTCTAGGCCATTTGGACAACCTGTTAAAAGAAAAACAACTTTTTACATCTAGCCCTCGCCGTTTCTGTCGACTTTTTTGCATGATATCAGCAATTCTTGTAAGTTGCAAGCTGCTGTAATCATTTCAGAGGATATGTATCGGTTGTAACAAAGGAATTTATATAACTTACCATTCGGAAAACTATCGCCACTTGGATCTAATCCATGTGGCGGTGCATCTGTGATTAAAATACAGATTTTTGTTGCCTCGGCTCTCCATGAAAGTTTTAATACATCATGCATAGCATCTATGAACAAAAAAACTGTCATAGTATTTTTTTATTTAAACTTAAGTTTCCTACCGGCAACTGCTTCCGGAGCGTCTCCACCACCTACTGCTGTACAATCTTCTAACCAGCCTTTCATTTGTTTCACACTTGCTGTAAAATCGTGAGCACGTGTTACAAATGTATGATCTTGAGGTGGATGATCACGGTATTCAACTAAAGCCAGTTTTATATCTGATTTTTCACTAATAACAATTTCTTCAACGATTGATCGGATATTCTGTGTGGCGCTATCGATATAAGAGCCCATTGATCCTAGAGAAGAATGCTTGTGTTTTTCAGATGAGAAGAGGCAATGCCTGACAAATTACCTGTACAGTCCAGGACAAAAACCAAATCTAAAATAGAAGGTAGAAGCATTAATTACAATGATGATCTGAGACTGTAGATCGTCTCACCTAGTATAGAACTATCATGTTTAGCTAGCTCTGGTCTTTCATGCTTTTCGACAGCGATTGCACTCATTCCACGTGACTCGAACTAAAAGAATAAAGGTTTTGTGTAAATATTTTAGACTCGAAGTCACAATGGATGAAACTAATGAAACCGTAGAATTGGCAGTGAAGTAATATATTTAAGCTTTTGTAAGGTAACTGGTATACCTTTTTCAACAAACAATAATATTTCTCTCTTGCTAGTGACTTCGAATATGCGCGTTGGTAGAATGTTTTACAGAGGTACAGTATTTATGTTTTATGCGTATATATACATGATTCATTGTTCTCTTTCTTCCTCTACAGCGTGACGGTGATACAATGGAGCATTACACACAGTGTTGCAATGTGATGTTTTTCATAGCAATTCCAGTCTCATTCTCGTTCGTCATTCATGTTGTCATTATTATTGTATATTCATACAAGGGCCTGAATAAAATGAGCCATGGTTAGGATTTGATTATTACAGACATGTACAAGAAAGAATGACTGTTTTCATCAAATAAAATTGCATATTATTAGTTTAAAAATCGTGCAAGTTCCTTCATATGAAAATAAACTTGTTTGCTTTACAGTTCTAATAACATCTCAACAGAATGCAAATATGAAAGAAGAAAAAACTAGCTATGTGTGTAAAATGAGTTTGCTCTTCCATAACAAGTTGTTATTATTTTTGTTTTTTTAATGTTGAAAGACTTCACCCCTGACCCCGGACATTCTTTTTATTCTCATATTCTTCTGTTCAGAAATAGCTGTATATCACGTAGAAAGTCTACTTTAAGAAAAATTTTTTGTTCGACGAAAAATACCTTAGGGCTTGTCCACATTTTTCTGAGAGAAAGTTTTCTTAAAATATTCTGTGTCATACATCATTCAACATAGTTTAATGCGCTGATTTCGAATATGTCTGTCCTATTGAATAAAAACGGTTCCGGATCGAAAAATATGGAAAATACCTGTAAAATCATATGTAAGATTAGGAACGTATGTGCTAACAGTGATGATAGAGGGCATATAAGGGAACATTTTGATAAAGTTTGAGCGGATTTGGCCCATGGCTAAGCATGACGCACTTATTTCACTAAATAGTGCCGTGAGAAAATGACAGTATGGAAAAAAGTTAAATATTTTTCCTTAAAAATTGTACGTCCAATTTAAAATTTCTTTTACAAATCGATAGCAGAAAGCATGCAGATATAGAATGTGTATCATTTTTAGTTATCACTTCGATGGATTTTGCGAAAATTGAACTTTCGTCAAATATCAGGATTTTCTGGCTTTCGCTACTTGTTTTTCCACGCTACATAAAGTTTTGAAACAAAATTTCGTATGCTATTAAATAGAGTATGTGTTGAAGCAGAGACGTGCGTGGCAAGGAATTTTCATACCCCGCGTGTCCCGTCCCGTGACTTCCGTCGACCCGTCCCGTGGACCACTGGTTTAAATAACCCCGCTCGTGCTCCGTAGAATTTTCCTCTAACCCGTCCCGCCCGCACCCGTGTGGCCTGTGAGACTTTTCATTCATCACACAGATTCACGCAAATTTTTCAATGATGATATTTCGATGATTTTCATCTTTAACTGCAGGAAGAGCAAATCGAGTCCAACATGCAGATGGTTTAACTGTATTTACTCTAGGATTATCCACCAGTGTATATTTTCCTGGTTGATTTTTCAAGAAAAATTTGATATTCGATGTATCGTACTTTATATCACCAA